AAATACAGGCCATTTACCATAAACCCAAACGGGTTTAAATGCAACAGTAGGGGGCAGCCCACTGGGGTTTAAATAGGGTGTAATTACTTGTGACTCGCCACTATTTGATTTGAGAGCTTAAGTATGAGGTGAAACGTCTTCAAGAAACTTAAAGAAGCCCAGCTGGTTGCTTTCCGAGCTCCTTAGAATTATCCATCAGTCCTGCCTCATTTTTGTGTAATCAAAGTAAACGTCTGTCACGCTACCTTCATCTGATTTTTACTGCATTTTAAACTTTAAACAAAATGAATATACACAATATACAATACTATTCTGTTAAACTTAGCAAAAATTGGGAATTTGAATGGTCCAGAAAACTGCGTCAAGTTAGCAAAACACCAAAATGATGCAATTGTACCTAGAAGTACAATAAGCTCATAAACAGCTAATGATTAGTGGGTTACTTTTTCCTCAGTGATGAACTGCAGCTCACAGGACAGAATGTGTGTCAAAGATGTGAAGATTCTTCCAAACTATAACTCGTCTTACCTTCCCGTGATGCCTGATGGCTCAGTGCTCGTAGTCGACAATGTCTGGTAAGTACATATGCACTCGGTGTGCAAATGCTTTGCAAGCAGGGAAGTAATTGGCAAGTTGTTTTCTGTGTTCTTTAGCCTCCTAATGAGCATAACGCTTTATACTTTCTATTAAAGCCACCAGTCAGCGGAGATCACCATGGCTTCATTCTGTCGGCTGGACAACAAATCATCACATTTACCTTGTATGCTTAGTGCCCTGGAGGAGCAGACCTTCATTTTTCAGCTGCAGCTACAAGAGAAAGAAGAACAGCAATCCAGCAAGGTGAGAAGGCACGCTGGAGGGTGTGTCGTTACTTTTTTAAAACCAGTGCGATTTTGTGAAAACAAGTTTTAGTGCAAAGTTAAAGCTGCCAAATGATTACAATAAATAGTTAGTAAGTAAAGTTTATTTATATATTACCTTTCACAGACACGTGTCACAAAGTGCTTTACAAGGTAAAAACACATATATCATAAAAGCCTGTTCCAATTAAAAGCTTTTTGAAATAAACATGTCTTTAGCTGCTTTTTGAAGGTCTCCACTGAGTCCACACACGGTAGAAATAAAGGAAGTGATTGTACTAACAATTTGCTTGTACTAAATGATTTTGCATAAACCGTGATTTATATATGATTTACAGACGTGGACAAAATTCTTGGTACCCTTCAGTCAATGAGCGAAAAACTCACAACGGTCACAGAAATAACTGTAAAACAAAAGTATAAGTAAATACAAATTCTATGAATGTTAACCATTGAAAGTCACACATTGCTTTTTAACCCTGCTTGAACAGAATTATTTAAAAAAAATAAATGCATGAAACAGACCTGGACAAAAACGATGGTACCCACAACTTAATATTTTGTTGCACAACCTTTTGAGGCAAACACTGCAGTCAAGCGATTCCTGTAACTGTCAGTGAGACTTCTGCACCTCTCAGTAGGTATTTTGCCCCACTTCTCCTGATCAAACTGCTCCAGTTGTTTCCAGTTTGAAGGGCGCCTTTTCCACACGGCATGTTTCATCCAAAGATGCTCAACAGGATTGAGGTCAGGGCTCATAGAAGGCCACTTTAGAATAGTCCAGTGTTTTCCTCTCAGCCATTCTTGGGTGTTTCTGTGTTTTTGGGTCATTGTCCTGTTGCAAGACCCATGACCTG